CAAGCTATCCAAGCCACCATATTCTCATTAAAGTAAGGTATGGCTTTATTAAAATAAGTCATAATTGTTGCACACGTGGTACAACTATCTCACGTCATAATGTCCGCTTACTCTAGGAACAAAAGTTTCGTTTCAGCGAGCCAACCGTATATTTTCAATTATGCATTTTATACATATTTTTCTTTCCAAAATGCAACAATATGATACTTTGCTGAAAGCGAAAAATAATTCAAAAGAACTATATTAAAAATATAAATTGCATTAAAAATACGTTTAGCAAAATATCATAATTGGAAACATATATGAAATAATAGACTGGTAATTCAACCGTTTTTTATGAAAGATGATACTGATTTTTAAGGACTACTATATTATAATTTTATTCATGCATTACTTTCACTTTTTTTTTTTAACAGTGTAGAATTTTAGGACAAATCTTACCTATTTTTCCCCTTTAAATACTTTTTTTCCCTTAAAAATTTTAACTGCAAAATTCTAATAAAATTAATCTTAAGCAAGCTTAACTTTTCTCTGTAATTATGCATTTCTTTTTATGTAGTTTAAAGTATTCTTTTTTTTTTTCAATATAACAAAAAAATAATTTCTGTAATTTGATGAGAAATGATTATACATATTTTATACGAATACAATTAATTAGAGAAATACTTGCTCTGTGGGCAAGAAATCACAATTTCTTGTATTGTCCGATTTGAATAGTTGATTCACTTAGTATATTCCTCAATGTTTATCTTCGCGTTAAGTTAGAATAAACTTTAAACGGTAAAATAAATCTAATCAGCTATAACAAGCAAATAATCAAGCTGGTCTTTATTTTAAAAGCCATCATTAATTACTTTAAATTATCTAAGTAGTTTGTACCTCACTGTTTATCTCCCCGTACTTCGGATTCAAATTAATTTAAAAGAGTAAAATATAAATTATGATTCATACTAGGCAAATATCCAACACATTTTTATTTTTTAAATTAATCAACAATTATTTTAAATAATCTATTACCTTCAGTTGGACTAATTAGTATATACATCGATTTTTATCTTCGTGTACAGGAAGAATGAATTTAAAATAGTAAAATATCTATGAGTTTTACCAAGCAATGATTTAGCACGTTCTCATTTTTAAATCCATCAATAATTCTTTTAAATAATCTATTACCTTCAGTTGGACTAATTAGTATATACATCAATTTTTATCTTCGTGTACAGAAAGAATGAATTTAAAACAGTAAAATACCTATGAGTCTTACCAAACAATGATTTAGCACGTTCTCATTTTTAAGTTCATCAATAATTCTTTTAAATAATCTATTACCTTCAGTTGGACTAATTAGTATATACATCGATTTTTATCTTCGTGTACAAGAAGAATGAATTTAAAACAGTAAAATATCTATGAGCCCTAGCAAACAATGATTTAGCACGTTCTCATTTTCAAATTTATCAATAATNCGCGCCGAATCCAATCAATTAAAAATGAAAACTGTTGCCAGCGCGAGAAAAGAAATATCATCGGTTTTATTGATACATACATACGTACGTATTAGCGTTTTATATAATATAGATTAGAGAAATACTTGCTCTGCAAGCAAGAAATTACAATTTCTTGCATTGTCCGATTTGAATAGTTGATTCCTTGGCGAAGGCCAAGGTTGATTCACTTGGTATATTCCTCAATGTTTATCTTCGCGCGAAGTTAGAATAAGCCTTAAACTGTTAAATAAATCTAATCAGCTATAACAAGCTAATAATCAAGCTGATCTTTATTTTAAAAGGCATCATTAATTACTTTAAATTATCTAAGTAGTATGTACCTCATTGTTTATCTTCCTGTACTTCGGATTCAAATTAATTTAAAAGAGTAAAACATAAATTATGATTCACACTAGGCAAATATCCAACACATTTTTATTTTTTAAATTCATCAATAATTCTTTTAAATAATCTATCACCTTCAATTGGACTAATTAGTACATACATCGATGTTTATCTTCGTGTACAGCAAGAATGAATTTAAAACAGTAAAATATCTATGAGTCCTAGCAAACAATGATTTAGCACGTTCTCGTTTTTAAATTCATCAATAATTCTTTTAAATAATCTATTACCTTCAGTTGGACTAATTAGTATATACATCGATGTTTATCTTCGTGTACAGCAAGAATGAATTTAAAACAGTAAAATATCTATGAGCCCTAGCAAACAATGATTTAGCACGTTCTCATTTTCAAATTTATCAATAATTCTTTTAAATAATCTATCACCTTCAGTTGGACTAATTAGTACATACATCGATGTTTATCTTCGTGTACAGCAAGAATGAATTTAAATGAATAAAATATCTATGAGTTTCACCAAGCAAAGATTTAGCACGTTCTCATTTTTAAATTCATCAATAATTCTCATGAACAACGATTTTCTATCTTTTAAATAATCTAATTAGAATATACCTCGATGCTTATCTTTACGTACAACTGAAATGAATCTAAAAGAGTAAAATAAAATAAAAAATATGAGCCATGCCAGTCATAAGATACCATCCAGCACGTCCTTATTTTGAAAGTCATCAATAGTTATTTTAAGTATTCTAATTAGATTATTATTATACCTATTTCCTATTTGATTATTATATTCCTTTATTTAATTTTAAAATTAAAATGATGCATTTAAATTATAGATAAAAGAATTTGCATCTCACTAATAATGAGGGCTAGTTTGAGAACGTTCATTTAATAAAATAAGATTAAAAAATATATGTAGTTTACTTCAAAATTTATATTTTTTAATAATTTATAAATTAAATTTTTTAACAGATTTTATTTATCTAAATAAGGAAAATAGTAATTAAAATTAAAAATTGAATAGTTATAATGCAGTTAAATTTTTTAGTTTTAATATTATTATTTTTTTTCTTTTTTAGGAAACACTTATTTCTCTGCGTCGTTTTCTTCTATGAAACATTTCTTCCAAGAATTTTCCTAACATAGGGACATTTTTTTAAATTTTCAACTTATTATGAATATTTTTTTTTGCGATTTTTATTCAGTATCTATTAGCAAATCTTCAAAAGATTATGAAGTTTTAAGTAATGATATTAAGATTGTTTCACACTTAAATATGAATATTACTTAAATGTTTTTATATAACAGGCAATAGTCCATATTTCTAATTATAAGATTGAATTATATAAACAACTTTGAGATCATATAAAAATTATGACAACTTTTATATTCTCTCAAGAAACTTTTTCAAATAACATAGTCAACATTTCGTGTTACATGAGTTAGAATAAGCAAATTGAACCGAAATTACTGGATGAAAGCAGAGATTTTTAAAGTTTCTAACTTGTCTAATCACAAAATAAATAGAAAAAAAAGCATGTTGTTTATGTTAATAATCGTTTGAAACCATTTGTTAAAGATTAACTTATTAACTTATAAAAATTTTAAAAAAATTGAAGAATAAAAGTTTAAAAAAATCAGTAAATTTCAGAGAAGTTTTTATTAATTCTTTTAAAGAAATAATTTTTATAAATTAGTTTATTATATCGATTTTTTTTATCTTTTTATAATGAGTTTTCTTAAATACCGCTTTTGACGAGTATTTTTAGAAAACTTGTTCTAAACTAGGAAGCTCTTATTTAAGATATTTTAAGTAAGAATATTAATATTTTTATTGATTTTAAGTAAGAAAATTAATATTACTTAAAATATGTTATCTATTTCCAAAAAAAAAAAATATTTAATGAATAATATTATAGCAAATTCATTAGCTTGAAATAGAATTTAGCTAATTAAAACTGGATTTGAAATTTCAAATCTTTTTGAAGCAATTGTTCTACCATCACCAATTGAAATAAGAGAATCTACTTTTATTTAAATTTCACTAATTTATTTTAAAAACTTAAACCACACTTTTATCATTAAAATTGGCCATATTCTGATAAGTTTTGCACTTAAATCTTGATTTGCAACACCTAATGTGTATGCATTAAATATTTTCCTAGGAAAGACATTCTTTGAAGGAAAAAAACATTTATAATATTTTTTTTTCAGGAATCATTTTTTTTAAGTACAAAAAATTCAGTTTCAAAATAAAATAATTTCGAAGGAATAATTTTAAAACAGTAGTTTATATTTTTGGCAAAATTATATAGCTAATTGCATTTCGACATAAAGAATAAATACTATTTAAAACTCTTTTAAAATACACATATATTTTACTAAATTAAAGCTTTTTGCACATATTTAATAATTACAAAAATCGAAATTTGGATATTTTTTACTTGTTTATAGCTCGGAAGTCAGCTGTTCACTAATATGACGTCAAACAATGCAACATCGATGTCGACCAACCAATGGAAAGAGGCTCTCGGACAATTGCCCAATAAGAAACCATCCTGAGCACATGGCGGAAACGATCAAAGGAAAATTCAGTAGCAAAGTGATCACTGAATAAATAGTGGAGAGGAGGGACCAAAATTAAACCCCATACCTGTCCTTTTGCACCACTAAGCACGATTCTAGTTGTCCTATCCCCCCACAATACCACCTAACTTCATATGTTCTTGCTTTAGAAAAACGCCTGAGGCCTCTTTCGGCTTCTTTGATGTTTAAAGCAAAGGCCTGCCTCTAAAGACTAGGTCTTGTTTACTTAAGTAAAACGAAATAAAGGAATATTATAGTTCCAGAACGGTATAAAAACTCATCGATACTGAGCCGCGGAATCATAAGTCTTCTCACCGCGAAAGTTCTTCATTTCTCTGTCGCTCTTGAATCTCAGATAAGGATAACACAACTTGCCAACTTTTATCGTTTGCGCTTGAAGTTTGTTTCTTTCCGATTTACTTCTGCTTTTTAATTATTTTAAAATCGTTTGGGATTTTTTTCTCTTAATTTTATTTTCGTTATATTAAACAGAAAATCGTTTGTACTTAAAAATAGAATAGCGAACTGAAAATAATTTGGATTTTAATATAAATATTATAAAGATTAAAATTGTTCTAATACAGAACGTTTTTAAATTTCTCAAAACTTTTTTTTAATAATTTTAATTATTTCTGCAACTTGTTGAATAGAACTTGTAATAAGAAAAAAGTTGAATTAAGAACAATTTCTCATCATTGCATCTCAATCGTTTGAAGAATCTCAACTTATTTCCGAACCTGATTCGTTGCTTGAGGCAGTCATGTGGACATTTTTAGCATTATTTTGTTTATTGCATTTGGTACTCAGTTCTCAAAAAGTACCACCATCTCATCCAAATGACGTTGATTCTGATTTAGATTACAAATTATTCATCGATTACAAATTACAATTTGATAGATGGGCCGATTTAGCATACGACTTTGTAGGCAATCTGAGCTGCAATGATGCTATTCTAACAACTGAAGAAGATTGCCTGCAATTGATAGCCATTCCTAAATCCGAGATGAATTACTATTTGGCAGAACCTGTACCAGCTCAGAAGTATCATGCTGTATTGCCTGATGGACCGTTAACTCGTACAGACCCCCATGATGCAGTACTAGTATTGGATCCTTATCCAAAAGCAAATCTTGGACATCTTCTTTTGGTCTTCTTCATCGATTTAAGCTGGACAGAATTTCAGTGCTTGAGAAATGGTGGACAATATACAGGTTAGTTCTTTTTATAAGTTTTAGGTTCCAAAAGTATTTATATGTGGTTACTTTAAATCTATGCTGAAAACTATAATGATAAATCAAAATTTGTCAACAATTTGTTGCTAATTTGATGAAATTTTTTAAGGATTTTAAATCTAGTTTTCTTAGAAATTTAAACACGAAGGTAAATTTTTTGAAAAATAGATATGTATTTAATTTTTCATTTGATTACATTATTTATCAATTAAAATTTATTGCTAATTACTATAACTAAATGCTTTAACAAATATTTGACTAAATTCATGATAGTTGACGAAAATATTGAATTATGGAAAGTATGTATTATTTATTTATATTGCGCATATTACGTATACACATAGTGTAATTATTAAAGGTCAAATTTTAAAAACATGTTCCTTTTTGTCAAACTAAGCACAATTTCAAGTACACTTATATTTTTAATCATTAAAAATTTGTAATTTAGTTTCAGGTTTTCAAAAATCTTACAATTCCCCTTTGAATAGGAAAAGGGTTTAAGTTCCTCCGATTAAACCTCATGGGAATTATTTTTACCGAATTCTCTTATTTATTCAGTAGAACTTTTGTTTCATTTTATTCACTGAAGCATGCTTTAATGAATTAAATTACAGAAATTTAAATTTCAAGTTTATAAGTATTTTTAAAATTTGTTCGATGTTTTAGGTTTTTTAAAACGTTAAAGTTTTGAGAATGTCTACAAGTTACTGCAATTTTATTAACTATCTGCTACTTATTTATGTTTAAAAAATGAGATAAAAAATCAGTACAACACATTTTAATGAATAAGATGAAACAAATATTATACAAATATATTAATAAGCTGACTAAATTGTATTTCTAATTTTCAAATAAACTAAACAGCAATTATTTTTTAATAAATGTTACTGTTTGCAATAATTTTAATAATAATACTGTTAATAATGGCACTGTTTGCAATATTACATTTTTTTAAAAATGTAATATTGCTGATGTTTATAATTTGTTGATGTTTCGATTAAAAAGGAGCAATTATTAAAAAGATTGTAAGTTCCATTTTCACTATTTTTGTATAATTATTTTACATACTACTTTTAAATCACATCAATGATTTGTGTGTTGCCATTTGTCTTAACTGTCTTTTGGAGGAATTTTTTATAAATACCACTATTAACCTCCAATATCGATTAATTTTTTTCAAAACAAAAAAAAAAATCATATGTACAATGTTATTTAAAAACGTAAAAGAACTGAATATAATGAAATATCTGGAACATATCATTATTTACATAATAATTAAGCTTTGTATTTAAAACTGAAAAATTTTATAATATTTAATAATTGTTTAAATAATATAACCCAGTTACATTCATAAACTGCGAGTCTTTCTGTATAAGATTAGAAACATAATAAAATGAAAACGACACTTTGATTCGTTTCAGTTAGAATTTATTTCTATTATTTACTTAATAAAATATGAAAATTTAATTTTCAGTTGCTACTTGTTAAGTAATGATAGCAAGCTTTTACTATGTCACTTTTGAATGGATGATTAAAGACGCAATTTTATTTTTATACGAATACATTTATATTATATATTTAGCTAAGAGCATGGTGTTTATACTCTTTTTAATTGCCGGTAAGAAACAAAAATGGATATCATACTCTTTACCCCAAACTTTTTACTGGGTCTAACTTTTTAGTAGTTAACTAACTTTTTAACCTAACCTTGTAGTGTTTGCACAAAACATACTGTGTAAAGGATAGAGGGTGCAACCTAAAATTATCGAAATTAATTTTTGTTAAACAATAATCATTGTTTAACAAGTCTAAAGTTATCAAACTTTCATTTATTTTCCTCATTTTCATTTTCTTTTATAACTTTCTTCCCCATTTAGCGAAAAACAGTTCTAAATATTTTTATTTAGTTATTTATCTTCCTTTTTCTTTCTAAAATCATTTTAGAATCTGTAAGATTTTACAGTTTTATAAGTTATTTATTAATATAACTAATGCACTGAACTGCTTTAAAGAATTTTTAAAGTTTTCTTACTAAATAGTTGTTTTTCACTTTATCAATCAATAGTTCTAAAAACTACTTTACGGTAAGTTCACAACAGCAGATTAAAAATGAAAACATTTTAAGTTCATGGATGGCTAATTCGTTCATTATTAATTATAGTTATTACTTTTTATTATATACCTAGATGGCTAATTTTTTTAGCTTTATCCTTCACCTCTATGTTGTGGTGCTAACACAAACCGCGATGTGTTGAGGGGGAAGTTGGAACCTAAATTTATCGAAGTCAATTTTTGATTTAAAAATTGTCAAATTATCAAAGTTCCATTTACCTGAGCTTCCTTAACTTCATTTTCTAATTTCTGAAATTTTCTTGTCCATTTTGCAAAAATATTTTTATTTTCTTAATCTTCACTTTTTCTTTCTAAAAATTATATTATTACGTGTAAGACCTTACAATTAATTGAAATTGTATATTAATAAAACTAATACATTGAACAACTTTAAACATTTTCATGCAAAATTATTTTCTTCTTTATTAACCAATAGTCCCAAAACCAGCTTTAAGGGAGTTAAAGTTCACAACAGCAGATTGAAAATCGAAATGTAAGGTTCGTAGATGATTAATTTTGCAATTGACTAATCGTCTAAATTTAATCTAGCACAATTGTCTTCGAACTTAACACATTGTGTAGGTAGCCTTTAAATCGTCAGTATTTTGAAAGGGTTATGCTAAGAGTTTTATAATAAAAAATAAATATGATTATAACGTGAAAATTAGTCATTAAAGTTCCGGTACGTCATATTAGAACTTTCCGGCAGCACTACACCCACCCGTACTTTCTCCCCCCCCCCTTCCACCCCTGGCAAATGCTTGTTGTACTTCTGGAAACTCTTGCATCCAAACCACCTGTTTTTCTCAGACATGCATTGTTCGTTTCAACCCTTTATTTCATTTTCCCTCTTCACCTTTGTCTGATAACATTCAGAGTCTCTAGAACTTTTTCTTCCATGGCAATATTTTCCTTAAAGGTTGCTTCAAAACTGTAGGCTTTATTATGAAGTGGCTGGAACCCACCTGTGTCTGATAGAAAGGCCGTCAAAAAATTTCACTTGTAAAGCGATAATGGCTAAAGGCACCTGTATCACTTGTACTCTTTTGTGGCCTTCCATGAACCGCCTATTGTTGTATCTCTGTTAGGGTAGAGTTAATAGAGTGTCTTTCTGGACAGAATACCACACCCTTTTTAAAAAAGCTGAGGTTGAAAATTTACAGGTCACTTAAGCTTGACTTCGGGATCGATAAAAATTTGACTTCATGACAGAACCACAGCAGTAATTTAAGCCTTTACTACTCTAATTAGAGTTTATAGGCTATAATTCGAGAAGCACTTTTATAATTAGAGTTTTGTGGGGGCTAAATTGTTTAGAAGAAATTATTATTCAAGTGTTTACTTTTAAAGAGAGAATAAAAATGTTTTAAAAAATCTTTGCTACATTAGGTGGAAATATACACAATTGCAAAGTTGAAAAGTCACATTAAACAATTTCTTTTTTTTTCATCAATTTTATTATTATTACTGTTTTACTTATTATTACTGTTCTTCAAATTTATTTTTCTAAATATCATTGTTATTTCTTATTTACATTTCTGGTAAAGTAAGATTAAGAATATCTCAAATTAAATATAGATTATCCAGATAATACAACATTTAATAAGTATTTGAAAAAATTTTTGATAATATTTTATTTTTTCGGAATCACAGCAAGCATTAAAAATACACTAGGAACGTAAGCTCACATGTGAAAAAGTTAAAAGTTGACTTACGTTAAAAGTTCAACAGTCCCTTTCTGAAATATACTGATTTATAATTAAAAATTATTTGTGTGATTCATTATTAATTTTTTTCCCTCTTCTATTTCTAGAAGGAGGTGTGTGTTTCACTGTAGCTTTGAGACAAAGATGTCACAATCTTCTGCAGCATTCCAAGTGGGACGATACCAACAACCGGATTAAGGCATGTGAGATTATGTTTTTTCCTTTAGTATATCCCGTTGGAGAAAAGCAACTGCAACAGTCACAAAAGCTCAAATGCAGAGATGATACCCCAGGTAATGTACATATGCACTTATACGAGCTCCATTTTCTCTTCTGTCTAAAATTTGTTCTACGCTAAACAACTTGAAATCAAGTCAATAAAAAAATTGTTTGCAATGCTAATATCGTTTGTATTTTCAAAATAAACCGTTTTTTTTTTTTTTTTTTTTTTTTTTTTCTACTTCTCGTCTGCGCGTATCTCTAAAAATTCAAACTGACGTTTTTTCTTTTTTCTTCATTATTGTTCTTATTTTCTTATTTTATTATCAATTAAATGAAAAACTAATATGAAATAAAAATTTTAAAGAAATTTGTCACATTCGAAATTTTTTTGTTAAATCAAAAGAACTTTGCAAGGAATAATAAATTGTGTTTATCGAGACAAAGTTTTACACAAAAGAATACTTGTAATAATTATTTACTACCTTTCATTACTTAATTTGATACGGAAAGGAAAATATTTGCCTTGGAGTTATAAATTCTTTTTGCATAATCATAACTAATATAATTTTAAATAGAAAATAAAAACTCATATCTAAAAGCTTTTGATAAATAAAAATTTTAAAATATAGCTTTTTTAAATTCCATTCCCCAGAATCTATTTTCTTTTTCTTTTAATTTGTGGGTACTTTTCCTTTTATTTCTAAAATTTTAAATCCATATCATTCAGGTAATTTTTTTTTTAAATCTTACTTGTTTTTAAAGAAAGAGACTATATTTTATATTAGTGCTATGAAAAGTAGTTTTAACTAATTAGTTACAATTACAACTTAGGACGTAATTTGATTAATACCGCCGATTATTTGCACTTGATGTACCCAGAAAGGATCTTTCGAAACGTAAAAATCATATTAATTGTACTAAATTTTTCGGTAATAGTAATCTAAGTAGAACTTTAAAATGCTGTTATAGACATTTCGCAGTTACTGATATTTTTCATTTTGAAAAAAACATTAAATTCAATCCTTAATTCTAGGCTTTGCCGCATGTCCAGTGCTACGTCCTAAAAACAAGACAGACAACGTACTGTGTGATGCTGTGGAAAAAAATTCTTACAGATGTAGCAACACCGCCAAATCAGTGGGTTTACGTTGCCGGATATTCGAGAGATGTGACCATGCAGTTATGATATCTGGTGGATGGGATCGATTAACCGATAGACCGATGTATCTTGAAAACTTGCACCGTTTCCACGAAATGCTCACTCTCAATGGATTTCCCCAAAAGAATATCAAGATTTTCTATTCTAATGGAAAATATGGAATCGATGGTAAGTTCAAGTTTTTACACTTTTACTTCATTTTTTTAAAACACAACATTTTTTTAAAAAAATTATTGTTAGTAAGCCTTTTCTCTCCAGACAGAAATCAATTGTCGAAGGGGTGGAGACCGGGAGGGAAAATTCTAAATATTCTTTTAATCTTCTTTATCTCTTTCTAAATCTGAAAATAGGATACCTGCAAGTGACGTAGTGTGGGTATCTCGATCCTGATTGGTTATTGAAATGTGACATTTTTTTTACGTAATCAATTGTTCTTTCCAGTCTATTTCCAGAAAGCCAGGCCCGTGAAGTATCAATTCTCATAAGTGACACATTCTATTTTCTATCATAAAGATTCTTTCGCAAAGATTTCAATTCCTTTACTATATATTTCTTACTTAACACAAAGACAGGCATGAAGCAATGTAGAAAACAAACAAACTAATTATGCATCGAAATTGCCAGGTACGCTTAAGAAAATATATCTCGGTTACATGTAATAAATGTAAAATATATCTCCGTTACAAATAATAAATCTAAGTTTAATAAGAGGCGTAGAATAAATTATACTTTATAAGAAATAATTATACTTTAAAAAATTCGATGCGTGATATGGCGTTGTAATTATTAACATTCCCGTGAAGCAACATTTTAACTTATGTGGACAGACTTTAGCTCGACTTTAACACGCCATCTTGTTTATAAGCAATCAGTTAGCTGGTGGCTTAGGGGATAGACCTGGTGGTTCGGGATAAAGCGATCGACTTGAGTTCAAATCCCAGCGATGGCCGATTGGTACGAATTCCGCACCCGGTTCGCACCGACCACAACACAAAATATCCTCAGTGGTAGACCGATCATGGGTTAGAGTCCCCTCCCTCTCTGTCAGGCTAACCGCTGGAGATTTTCGTGGTTTTTTTCACCATGTAGCGCAAATGCAGGTCAGTTCATCAAAAAGTCATCCTCGAAGGTAAATTTCTACCATTACTGGATTCAGGAGTTCCCTCGTCTTTTGGATTGGGTTTAAAATTACAAGATTACGGAGTTGAATATTAGTACTCGTAAGCCCAAAATTGAGATGAGGCTTCACTCGTAAGCCCAAAATTGAGACACGTGACCACTGAGGTCATAGGTCACGTGTCTGTGTATCAGTGAATTTTTTCTTCTCAAGTTGCAAGTACCCAATTGTTGAAAACGATATAAAGACTGTTCTGAGCAAAAAATATGTTTCTGTAAAAAAGCTAAGATTAAGTTGCTCAATTAAGCATTAGAGTCCTATTGGTTCTTCTGTTACTATACAAAATAATTCCTTGCTTAATTTATTAACTGGGCTCCCAATGAAACTTTTATTTAGTTTAATAGAGCTATGAGCTAGCAAATCATTAATATTATAAAAGATATCCCAATGCTTCCGCAATAAAGCGGATTTCTCAGTGAAATTGTTGTCTGGGAATCAATCAGAATCAGAAATATCAATCAAAATTTTTAATCTTCTATACGTTTAAAAATTAATTGAATATTTTCTTCTAGCTGTTTGTTTTTCTTCTTGCATGTCTTAAATGAAAGGGAAAGTTCACTGCGTATCATTATTTATATCCGAAATTATCTGCTGTAAATTCGCAGATGTCACAATTTGAAAACTTCGAGGGAAAAACTACAGCAAAAAAGTGATTTTATCAAATTGCTATTCTTTTTGATAAAAAACTCGAACGAGATGGTTCATTTTGAAGGAAATAATTGGAACTTTACGATAGAAAGAAAAGTAAAATTCTATAGTTTCGTTTAAACACAATGGGCTTTAAAGTACAGAAATGTTTAAGAAAATCACAAAAAAACGCAACTGAAATACAAATAAAATAATTCCTAATTAAAAAATTTAAAATCGGGATTTGTATTTTGTTTATTAATGTCCTCATTTCATGTTGAATGTCGTAGTGCCAATGGCATACCTACAATCTGTTTATAAAGACAAATATGCACACATACAAATTCTTTATTTTATTATATGTATAAATATCAAATACTGCAAGAAATAGCATCGATGTCATTAGAGCACGTGCTGTCAAATACTTTTCGCTGTGACTCTGGTCACAGCGATTGCCTGAAGTTAGGTGAGTCGGCGAAGCCAAATCGATAGAGATGAAACCTCAGACTGTACTGTCCTGTAATCATTCTAAAGCGAACTACACCAGCTATTCTTTGGGCATCCGCAACATAGCTAGGGTTCTCATTTAGGACCAAAGAACACTAGACCCAGTGTGGAATACAAGGAGGAAGGCCCTCTACGTTACACCCCTCATTCTGTGTAATAACCATATTAGTTATTTACCCTACTTCTTTGTTCTAATAACGATTATTATGTCTTTGCAGAAAACATGGTCATTCGTGAAAATATTTTCCCTTCATCTCTGAAGCTAACAATGCGATACCACATCCATCAACTGTGCTCCAGATTGCATTGTGCAGATTCATTTGTGATATATCTCAACAGTCCAACTCAAAGCAATGGAGCCGCTCTTTTGTGGGATATAGACCGAAATGGAGTGGTGAGTAAATTACATTTTAACCCATCCGGCCCCGCCCGAACATATATGTCCCGCGGACGAAAACATCACTGGGCATATGTGTCCCGCCTGAAAGTCTCAGCTCCTCAATTGCCCAAATAGTTATTATCTTTATTTCATGTTGTTATTTTTACCTTATTTGATCTGTTAAAGTTGTAATTTGTCCTTTTGTTGGAAAAGGGGGAAAAAACTGGTCTTGAAAGGGTTAAATTTGGTCTTTTTTTTCCCTCCTTTCATGTATATTAATTGAAAAGAGTTTAGATAGTAAGCACGTTTCAAAGTTTTCGATTTTTCTTTCTAAGAATTATTTTTCAAGAATGAGAGATATCAATAATTATTGTTTGACGTACGAAACAAGTATTTTAATGTCTTAAGGTCAAAGTTAAATTGGCTAATATGTTAAGAGTTAATTTCAATCTATAAAGTAACTTGCACTTAAAATACAAGGGAAAAGTTATGCGAGAAAATCAAAATTCTTCCTGAGTAGATTATTATAAATCGCAGTGTGGTTGACTAAGGTAATTATTGTAAGTAGGTGGTTAATTATTATTGTTAATTATTTTTCCTACCCCCCCCCCTTTTTTTTTGTATCACACTGTAAAAAAATCCTGATCAAATTACATGAAAAAGTACCGACATTCAGAGTGGGTGTACTTTCTACCGTAACATCTATTTTTACAGGAAGATGTTACGAAACAAAAAAATCTGATAAACCGTAATGTTGAATTACTTTGAAATCACTGAATCTCTCGAATTAAATAAATACTACTGTAAAAATTATGGTGTAATATTTTACAGTAAAAATGAATTTTATGGGTGATGCATCCAAATTATTGGCATTTTATATTGTAATTTGATCCATAATTTTTTACAGTGCATCCATTTTTCTGCCGTTCTTTTTCGTACCACAATGTAAAAAAATCTGGAACAAATTACTTTCAAAAGTACAGGCACTCAGCGTACCGGTACTTTCTACCCTAACATCTAAATTTACCGGAAAATATTACTGCTATACCGTAATTTTTACAGTCATAATTTCCGAAAAAATCACTATATTTAAATAAATATTACTTAGAATCGAAGTGTTAAACATTAATCGATGCAAAAGTAATTTAATTTGATGTAATTCAGTTTTATTAATTAAGCAATTATAAATTAACTATTAATTAATCAAGAAGTAATTAATTATTTTGCAGGCTGATGAAAATGAAGTATACACAATCAAGGAATTGTTAGCTGATACAGAAGAATGTGCAGCTCAACAAGTATACATTATAGCTGATCAAAACTACTCAGGAAAATTAATCCACGCACTACAGCATTCTAACAAACATGATAACGTCATTGCTTTTGCAAGCGGTCAGATGCATGAGTATTCTTGGAATGGAGACTACACTAATCTTTGGACATCCTATGACCACAAGGAAGAATGTGTCCAAAATACTCACGAGGTAAACATTTATTGTCTGTTATAATCCTCTGAAATAATTCACCAGTGATGGCGCTAACAGCAAGATAAAAGAGTATTGGTGCTCTGTTCTGCAGACATATGTAAATGCCACTTTAAGGAAGTTTGTGCCATGCTATCAGAATAATTAAAAGTTTTTCACAGAAAAATGGAACAATTATAATTAAATTTAATAGTGAAATGTACATGCAAAGTCTGATTATGGTCACTTATTCAGAAGTTTTGTGTTCAATTCTTTTTTCTTTTTTGTGAATACCTTTATAGGCTGATTCTAGAATCTAGAAAAAAAGTCAAAATTAAAAAGATATTTAAAAAAAAAAACTCATTATAGAACTAGTTCGGGAAAAACTAAAAAAATATATTGAGTTTTTGATTAGATATGAATGTATTGATGCTTGATTTCTGCTTCATTCACGTTGTTACTTGTTTTACTTTAGAATAACTGACTGTTATTCTCTACTCTGAGGTGAGCTTTATCCGCCATTTTAAATTTACAGAAGGGGGGGGGGGTATACCAGATCATTGCTGTCTCAGAAGTGTGATATTCTCTTGGGGGGTAGTTATTGCCTTGAATTGTATGAGAAAGTAATAGTTTATAATTTATTCGGAGTTTAGGTAAATATACTTATATACACGTTTGACAGTGCATTACCTTTTTGCTAGTTAGTTAAGAAATTAACATTAATAGGTTAATTTAGACCACCAAGCAAAAAAGGAAATATATCTATTTAAATACTAATGTGTTTTTAAATTGAGTTAAGTTTTTAAGTTAAGTTTCAGTTTCACTAATTTTTATTTCTGTTTTGAAAAGCCATGATATTGAAACCCTATTTGAAATGAGATTATAGTAAAAACACTAAAACAAAGACAGTGCAACCTTTAAATTAAACTTGAGAAAAAATATTGTTTTGTGCGATTTTCCCTTTTACTCAATGAAAATAATATAAAATAATTAGTAACTTAAAACGAAGCTACTTAATTCGTTCAGAAATTTAAAGTCTATAGCTTAATGCTATTGAAAATTAAGCCCACTAAGAGCTCTTGTACAATATCTAAGCAATGTCTAATTATTAAACAAAATTTATTAGTTTTTGCTTTTTTATTCAAAGTGAAATCGGGAAATGGTGCAATTCAATGGTTTAACTAAAGTCTTACTTAAACAGTGGGTTATTACAGCTTTTTGAGAGAATGGAGTTAATAGCATTTCTATCAACAAAAAAGTAATTTCAATTTTTTTAAGTACACCTGCTAAGTATTTCTACTGCTGAACAGAATTCAATGGTTTAATTATAAATTTATTTGAATGTTGGGTCATTACAGCTCGTTAAAAGAATGGAGTTTGTCGTATTTTTATCTTGATAGAAGTTCTTTCTATCTTATTTAAAAACTAGTACACCTTCAACGTATTTGTTCTGCTGAACAGAGAGCATTGAAATCCAACAAAATACACTAAAAAAAGGAGACTCTTTTTAGACTTTTAAGGCTCTGTTTAATGAATTGAACCAAAGTTGGACCTAGCCCAAGGTGCAAATAATGACTACAATTGTTCATTATTCTAATCGTTATCACTAAAGTTAAACTGTAAAACACAAATTATAAATTGCGTAATTTTATCATGCTTATAATTATACAAATAAGAGTGTTAAACCATACTGTTTTTAAAAGAATTATTTTCATTGTTTTTCAGATGCTGAAGACATTTATGAACACTTCGTATCCTTTATCATTTGACGGATCATTAGGTACCCTGAATACTACCATCTTTGGAGCTCCATGTGACGTCAGACCCCCATTTACCGAATATGAACTCCAAAAAAGATACTTTGGTTGTCAGAATTTACCAACTTACATTTGGATGAAAAGAACGAGAGCAGAATCTAGATTAGATATGCAAAATTTACGTCTCGCCCCTTGGAGAGACTCTAGATAGGTATTTAAAGTGTGTTGCCACAGAAAAACTAACAATATTTATAAAATTGATAAATAGTAGTTAAATAAGCTCACTGGGCAACAACAAAAAATAGTTACCTTTAGAGAAATTACCATCATTCAGTTAAGTGTAACTCATGCCTCTGGACTTGTCTACGAGGATTTGTAGGATTTCAAGCAAATTGCATCTAGTTTAAGCCACTCGTTGAAGATTTAATCTCGCAAATCTACCAAATTGCGCAGCTGCAGATTTCGTAGAGCGTGTGTGTATTTATAGAAACAGTCACGTATTTATAAAAACAGCTACAGCCTGATGACAATGGCCATAGTTATATTGACTATAAAATATAGCTATTGAGTATCAATAGCCTTCTTTATATTGAAGATGTTGGCTGAACGGCTGCACCTCATTTCATTGATGTCTCGAAATTGTCTCTATGGCTAGTTTTTGGTCGCGTTAACTTACCATAAATGCTTGAAAGAGGCGTAAACAGGTTTTAGAGATCTGCCCATTTATTTTGCTGAGAGAATAACTCAATTATGAAGATCTGTGGTATGGGTGAAGCTTTTTCTATGAGTTTCAATAATTTGTATTGTTTTTGTCAATTGCTGGAAAATTTAATTTTATCCTCATAAGAGAAGAAAAAAATGAGATGGTATGTCATTGTTTGAGTATATGTCTTTCTGCTAAATTATATCAAATATTCATAATAACTCAATTGTAAATTTATAGTGTACATATGTGTATAGCTTAATAATTGAATCAGTGAAAGATTACTATAGTTTTTCCGATGAAATCAGTATCGATGAGAGTTTTCAATTAAATTGTGATTAAGAATTGTGAGTTTTATTATTATTTTATTTAAAATAAATGGTGTTTATTGTTAACTGTAATTTAATGAAGTAAGAAATTACTTAGACACCTTGAAAGTAAAGGTGATGTCTATTTCAATGACGTTATTCCTCTGCATAGATCAGCGGCAAAACAATCAAGAGGTATATATGCCGCTACTTTTAAGTCATTACTTTTAATTATAATTTCTATAATTTTAATTCAGCAATAGCTCTGGATAAACTTTTTTCTAAACTTTATAATACTAATTCAATTTATAAAAATTTATAACAACCAAAAGATCTCAACAAAAAAAAATGTGACAAAACTGATTTGATTCATATAAATCATCATCTGTGATAACTATAAATGTTTAGTATACGAAATGTGTTTGTTTATTTTTTTTATTTATTTGTGTATAAATCCATGTGAAGAGTTATTAAGTGTTTTGTGTGTAGTAAAGGATTAAAAAAATTATCTATGTAATCTATTGTAAATAAATTTTATTTTCACAGAATAATATGATTTCTCTTTTTTTCTTTATGCGAAATATTTTGTTATTGTTGTCTCGGAAAAAAGCTTAAATTGTGGTTTACGAGACATTAAAGTAATAATGATGATGATTTTATATAGTTTTATTTTAAAACTTTTATTCAATTTTAGAAATTTACGAGCTGATTATTTATTTAATAAGCAATTTCTTTTTACTTTTTGAATAAAAATGTCACATAAAGTCTTATGGAGGGGTAATGGTGAACTGCGCTCAGCAATTGCCTCAATTATAATCTCCACTCCTAACTGCATGCGAATTGCGCTTCTAGGTAGGTTTCTCTTCTCATTGACATGCAAGGAGTGCAATTTATAAAAATCAAGCTCTATCTTGGCGATAAGCTTCCACCTCGCCAAAAATAATATATCGAAATATATTATGCCAAGTTATGCCAGATTAAGTTTGAGATATTGCAGTCAGGATTCGATTTACAACTAGAATATAATGCATTTACTGATAGTATTGCATTTATCATTACGTATTAGTTATCGTTATGGGTAATTGAATTTCACAAGTTTGCTGAATTATAAATTTTAAAAATGAAAAAATGGGTGAACTTATCCATTTGCGAACGTTGTGTTATTTTTTTTTTCAACTTTGATTTAAAGTGAATGAAAAGTTTTGATTAGGAAATGTTTAGACGCATTATTTTGTACAAATGTAGTACTTAGTGTTATGTAGTTAAAATTGAGAAACAGTTTCATTCACGAGATTGCTGAAGAGTAAGAATAAAATAGGTTTTTAAAATTTTAGTTTTGATTATCCGAGTTAATGTGAACTCGGATAATCGAAAAACTCGGTGAAAGCGAAGAGTATAAAAAAGGATAGGTATAAATGTAATATATTTAGCAAATTCAATTCACATATTATAATTAAAAAGCTTACTTAAAAACACTATTAAACAGCATACTTTAAGAGAATTAAAGAGTTTTTACCTAAGAAAGTTCTTAATCGTTTTTTATTTACATTACTTCGGCGCTTTTCTGCTGCAATGTTTCGCCATTTTTTTAGGGAAAACAGGAAGACTTGTGTCGCCTGTTCTTGTTGTTCTATATATTCAATAGCACCTTTGATAGCTTTTAGTCCATATGAAGATTTTTATATGTTGATTTTCATCGTCACTGTCTTCATCATCTCCGCTAGATTCATTTTCATTATTGACGATATTAACTATCATTTCATCGGTAATCTGGTGCTGTCCGTCAGCTTGTTTTCCTGAGTGTGTGGAATATAAAATTCCGAATTTTTTTTCGGTGGTAGTTTTAAAAATCAAAAAATAAACTAAAACAAAAAAAATCCTTGAAATATTTGATAGCTCGGTTAAAGCGGAAACTCGGATAATCGGGACTCTACTGTATAATAACTCTTCTATGGTTTCGCTCGAAAAAGTAAAAATTAATATACTGAGTGTAACTTTCTAACTTATAAGAATCGAGTTGATATAGTCTCAGTTAATTTATCAGATATTATGTTAATTTATATAAATTTTATCTTGAAATGTGCTGCAAGAATTTCTTATTAATTTTAAGAAGAAAACAGATGAAAAGTCGAACGTTTTCAATTAATAATAACAATATCAAATAAATCACCAACTTTTCTTTCTTTAAAAAAATTATAAGGAATTCTTGTAATTCATTTTAAAATAAAAATTTATAGAAAATGAACAAAATATCTGATAAATTAACTCAGACTACATGATCTGGTTTCTCATAAGTTAAAAAGTTAGACACAATATTTTACTTTTTCGAGCGATACCATAAAATAGTTGTTTTATTTTATTTTTTTAAGAATATTTTATTTTATGCTTTTTCACCTTAGAAGTCTCATCACATCAAATGTTTAAAAAATTTCTTTTTCGAAGAAAATAAATACTACTTCAGTTTTTCAATATTTTCTCATTTCTGTAAATTTGGTACTGACAGTTAAACTCGATATAAGATCAGATGTATTTGTATTGCGTATAACTATAGAGTAAAGCTTTTATAAATCAGCTTATCTACTCAATTTTTAACAGACTAGATAGATAGAATAAAGATAGAGGGTTTTTTTTTATAAGTGTCAGAATATTAGAGTAGCTGAATATCAATTGAATTCCGGTTAAACAGTATTAAGTTACATTACAAAAAATTATATAAAAGATGATTTCGTAACAAATAATTCTGTCCTGGAATTTGGTGGAAATTTTAATTGATTATAGATCGGAATTGGAGATTAGTTTACGGAAAAGTTTGGATTCGAACATTTTTACAACAAACTCCACACCTCTAATCAACACTACAAAATCAAGGACGAAACTAAAACTCGTATCAACACAATTAATAAAGATGAAATGTTTCCCTTTTTTATTTATAGCTCTTGCCGATGGCTTTACGTTATTAGATTAAGTATAACACTTTCTTAGAAGTTCATCTAATGAAAATAAAAATTAACTGAAATCAGTATCATTTGGTATGATACTGTTGCTCAAGGCCATTTCATGATAACACCAATCAAGTAATTTTCTCTGTTACTTATCCATTTCGATGGATCATGAAAAACTTATTACCACAGTACAGTAGTACATAATAAAAATTGGACCAATTGCTATAATACCAGTAAAACTAATTGCCAAAATTAATTAAGCATTGACTATGACAATAATACATAGCGATTTGCTTGTGATTCCTCTTAATTAATTTAAAGTCTAAAATAATTTCATACAATATCATTAATAAATACATTCTTAAAGGTGTGATTTTTTAAAGTCTTATTTCATTGTTAACGATTGTTTAAGTGAGCAATTTTTTTACTAAGAAATAATAAAAGGCACATGCATTGAAATTACCATATTACCTTTAAAAAATGCATTGATTTAAATCCATAGGAATTAATTTTTAAAAATAAAAAATTTAAACAAACTGATTAAAAATAGTATTGGTTGAAAAAAAATTATTAATTTTAATGTTAAATATTCTTATACCATGGAATTAGTAAATAAATCTTTCAGGGAGCGATTTTTTAAGTCTGATTTTATTGATAATGAGGATTTTTTACTATGAAATATGCATTGAAATTACTAGATTATCCCTTTCGTTAAAAAATGCATTGATTTAAATCAATCGGGAATTTTCTTTTAAAATAATTAAATCAAAAATTTAAACAAGCTGATTAAAAATATTATTGGTAGAAAAAAATGCTAATTTAAATAATAAATATTTTTATACAATAGAATAAGTAAGAAAATTTTTCAGGGAAATTTTTCTTCAATCTGATTTTATTGATAATGAGGACTTTTTACTAAAAAATAACGAAAGGGATATGCATGTAAATTATAATGTATAAAAATAGGCTAAACGTGAATGATGAACTAAACGTAATGTTTAAAAATAGAGTGACAAGAAACTTTTAAATTGTAATTTCCCTTTAAATACATTTAAATAATTTTCTGGCTAAAAACTTTCAACTAAACCCATTTAGTTTTTTGCAAATTAAAATGCATAATGCTTTTAAATCTTATTAAATATGTAGTTAGTGTGTATCAATACTTGCTCAATTCAGAGTAACATAATTGTTTTTTCAGTTATGTTTTCTGATTTAACTAATTTACTCTTCCTTAGATATCTAGTTGACAAATTGCCTCCCAATTTTTAAAAATCTTAAGCAAGTTGAACTTGAAAAGTATAAATCTATGATTTTTTTTAACTCAGTGATTGTGTAATAATATAATAATTTTATCCATTTTTGTAAGAAATATTAACTATTTTAGTTATATTATTTAAATTATTACAATCCTTAATGAGACGCTTTGGATGGTAAATTTAAAAAAAATCTGATTTAAATAAATAAAAAATCACGATTTTTTCCGACCGTGGTTATTGGTCAGTGTTGTAGTTATAAAATTTTCACTATATGAATGGTAAAATAAATTCAGATTTTATGTGCATAATTTGGCTTATATAAACTTGTTGTTATTGTTGTTTTCGTATGCCTGTTTTAGGCAGAAGGGTGCAATTGCTCTTGTTTTTCTCAGTGGCGCCATCTTTGGCCAAGAATTCGACTTCTGCCACACCCATACGTCATACTCGTTCATAAGGCGGACCCATTTATACATCCTGAATCAGAGAACTTGGAGGACTTTTCGACACGGCAGATTTAACGTGCACCAGTCACCATTTACTACACGGGTAGTCTTCAGCCGGAGGGGTTCGAACCCATGAACTCTCGGACATGGACCCAGCGCCCTACTGACCGGGCTATCCCGTCCTTAATATAGACTGGTTGAAATTGTTTTAAAATTGACTAAAATGTAACCACTTTAAAGTAAGTTTTTTTTTTTCCAATTTAATTAAAATTTGGTATTGCTTATTTTTAAGAAATATGCTACAAACTTAAACGACTCTTCAGTGAATGAATGAAAATCGAAAATTAATAAAAGCATAATTATTTCGATTTAAATTAATGGCAGGCTGACAACGAACAGTGACATGAGAAGGGAAGAGATTGGTCAACCCCGGGTACCAACTCTAAGTAGGTGACAAAAAAATTTATGTTTTTTTGTAGATAATTTGCATCTTTTATTTAAATCTCCCAAAATTCGGATTTATGATGAATTATATTCAATCATAATTTATCCCCAGATACCAACTCTATAGGTTGTAAATGCATGCGTTTTGTTATACGTATTTCGTATTTATTGCTTGAAATAAAATGTAATGAAATTTATGTGAACTTTAACCTGGGCCAATGGGATGGGTTGCTGTAAAGGTGCTGAAAATAGTCCAAAAATGCCGTATTGCTTGAAAATAATTGACGTAGGAGCTCTTTACAATAATTTATTTTTGTTTTAGGCATTTTATTTTTTTCCTTCATTTTAACGTTTTCAGTTCAGTATAATCATATAAAATGTCGATTTGTTACAAAAATATAAAAGATTTTTTATCGCTTGGATACAATTATGTATTTGTAACTTGAGAAGAATGCCTTACAATTAC